AAAACAAATTCAGTAAAATATAGGGAGAAAAAGAATATTGAAAGAAAAGAGGAAAATACTTACGTTTGTACTATATACAGTTCTGGATATTGAATTTCAGTAACATAGAATCAGATTCAGAAATGGCAATTGACATTGTCAAAATACCAGCATAAAGAGTTCAAGATTTGGAATTAAATAATCTGGACTAAAGGCCTAATTCCTAACAACTTCCTACTGGTTTAAACAAGCCACTGAATTTCTCTGCACCTAGAGTCTCCTCTGTTTTGGGATAACAATTTTTTTTTTTTTTTTTGAGACAGAGTTTTGCTCTTGTTACCCAGGCTGGAGTGCAATGGTGCGATCTCGGCTCACCGCAACCTCCACCCACTGGGTTCAGGCAATTCTCCTGCCTCAGCCTCCTGAGTAGCTGGGATTACAGGCACACACCACCGTACCAGCTAATTTTTTGTAGTTTTTAGTAGAGACGGGGTTTCACCATGTTGACCAGGATGGTCTCGATCTCTTGACCTCGTGATCCACCCGCCTCGGCCTCCCAAAGTGCTGGGACTACAGGCTTGAGCCACTGCACCCGGCCGGGATAACAATTTAATTGGCCCTACCTACCTCACAGGTTTGCTTTGAGAACCAAAGAAGATAATAAATGGTAAATAAACCTATAAAATAAACATGTTAACTGTTTTCTTAAATACATTAACCATTGCTATTCTTATTATTAATCTTGATTACTGTACAGGTAGAGATTAAAAAATGGTCCCTGCTCACAGAAGCTCATAGTTTAAGGAGCACGGATGGTGAGGAGTATAGTGGGGACCAAGGGGGCAATAGAGACAGGAAAGGCCAAGGTGGAGGGCGCAGAGGAAATGGGCAGAGTAATTAGGTATTCTTAATTAGGGAAAGCTGAGTATTGAGAAAGCACACAAAATCAACAAGTGTGATATCATTTAAACACAAGTGCTTACCAAATTCAATGGTGGTACAATGGACTGAATATTTGTATCCTTCAGAATTTATATGTTGAAAATTTATAGGATCTAATTACTATAGGGTCTCAAAAGGTGGGACCTTTGAGAAGTAATGAGATCATGAGGACAGAGCCCTTGTGAATGGGACTAGTGCCCTTAGACAAGAGACCGCTGAGAGCTCCCTCACTCCTTTTCTCTGATGTGAGGACACAGAGAAGAGGTTAAAGTCTATTAACTATAGAGCAAGCCCCACCAGACACTGAATTTGCAGTTGCCTTGATCTTGGACTTGAGGAATAAATGCTTGGTTTTTAGAAATTAGATAACGTTTTTAAGAGACAGAGTCTTGCCATATTGCCCAGGCTAGCCTTAAACGCATGGTTTTAAGCAGTACTCCTGCTTCAGCCTCCCGAGTGGCTGGGACTATATGCAGGTACCACCGCGCCCTGCTTAAGTGCTTATTCAAACTGCCCAGTCTATGGAGTTTTTGTTATAGCTGCCCAACTCTATATACCAACAGACTGTGACAATTGGCATATTAGAGCAAGGAGCAGCCTTGAAACCTGCAGTAAGTTTAGGACAAGTTAAAGACGCACTATGTAACTTGGTAGAGAATTACGGCAGAAACTTCCCCTTGTGGTAACACAGTGGTGTTTAGCTCACTCATTCATTTGATAAATATTTGAGAATCTCTTTGTTCCAGGGACAGTTTAGATTGGTTATGTAGCCATTGATGAAAATCCATTGTATCCACTGGGCAAAAATCTCTGACTACACGGAGGGAGAGAAACAATAAACAAGGAACTTAATTATTTAATTAATTGTAATAAAAGAAGATAAGTCTACGAAGAAAATACAGCAGGATAGGAGAGATCGGGAATGTGAGGATGAGGGTGATACCATCCTTAAAAGGATAGTTAAGGTAGGCCTCCTTGAGGAGCATTTTAACGAAGGTGTGATGATTTGAGTGTGTGTATTCCTTCTATTTGTGCCCCATTTTAGTTGCTTAGGAAGTCTTCAGACTGATTATGCAGTTTCTGAATTGTCTCCCAGGTTTGAGGAAGACTTCAGCCTGCATCTATCCAGGCCTGGTGTGATTGTGGCTCTCCCATAAAGCAGGTCATCTTGTTCTACACTATCCTATCACTGTCAGTCTTTTTTAGCTCCAGGATAGAGGGCTCTTCTGACTTGATGACCACTACGATACTCTCCACTTATATTCTGTGTTTCTCACATGCTTCCTTCTTCTTTACTGTGAGGCCGTTTATGCCCTTGTCTTTCTGTGAGGAAAGCTTGAGCTCCAGATAAGGAATAATCAGCCCTCCTCACACAGCCACAAGACTTAGCTTATTGGCCACACCCACTCAAAGAGGAATGACTGCATGATTGATTAACCAGCCCAACTCTTTCCAAGATAAGGCACCTCTGCCTTCTGATTATTTTAGTTTATTACTTTTTCTTCCCAATTTTAGCTATGTGTTATTTTTAACATGAGAATCAATGGTGTTTGGTTATACTAATGCACTCACTATCCTGAATCCACCTTTGCAAAGATTATGAGAATGAAAGAAATCTAACATGGCTGACTCCATCTTGCTTCGAGCCTCACAGGCAGGCTGGCTTCACTCGTTCTGGATGTAGGCCAAGGTAACCATGAAAGGAATTTAGTTTATAATTTAACTTTGGAGCAACGATAATAACAGTCTCTACCTAAAACTAGCTCCCTCCTTGCTCAGGGCCTGAAAACTTATGAAAGCCCAAAAGATTAGGATTATGAAAGGGACCTGAACTCTGCTAAGATACAGGCATAGTTTTTAAAATCCACTACTGCTCATCAGGAGTCAGGTGGCCAGAGGTCAGAAGATTTGTGACTTCCCTAATTGCTCCTATAGATAACATCACTACTGTAGAGTGCATGAGTGGTCTCTGAGACGTTTTTCAGATTTTTGCATTTGGCAACTGACTGACTCTACCTGGACCTGTGACTCATGACTCAACTGGTCCTGTGGCTTCTACCTAGAGGTGGATACAGCACATGAGGACTGTTTCCCACACCCCCATCCCCAACCAATCAGTAGTACCCATTCCCTAGCTCCCTTCCTACCAAATTATCTATAAAAACCCTAGCCTCTGTGTTCTTGGGGTGACTGAGTGATAACTCCAGTTCTTCCACATGGCTGGCCTTTGTAAATTCAACTCTTTCTTTACTGCAATGTACCATGATCTCAGTGAACTGATTTTATCTGCACAACAGGCAGGAAGAAGCTGTCAGACAGTTACAATCCCAAGAAGTGAAACAGGCCAAAAATGAAAGTTTAGGAAATGTTTAGAATTTTTCCTGGATTACACATATATAACAGGTGTTAGTGTGGGTTACATAGATGTTTGGGAGGTTTACCTCCCTGACCTTTAAGTGTAATGAGGATCATGATCTTTCTTTCTGCCACACCCCTGGTACCCCGGTCAGAGAGAGAATGGTTGTGCCATGGACATTACCCTTTAAAAGAATATGAAAAAAATAGGCAGGTTTTACAGGACGAAAACATGAAGAAATGGTATATGCTCTGAGGCTGCTTACACTATACAAGATACTAATTTCTAAAGAAATAATTTCATGAAATGGTTATTGAGTCATGTTTATGCCTGAAGATGATTAACATGAGGAAATGATCTTAAATTACGTGTGTCAAACAAATAATGGTTAGGCTTGGGAATCTGACCCTCTAGTTGATTAACAAGGAATAGGCCATAAGGGATGAAGAATGACATAGTTAGAAGGGTGGAGATATTCACACATCTTCAAGATATTAAAGTATGTTGAATATTTTCCAGAGGAAGAAATAATCACTTTCCCCATGTGGTTTTAACTAGAGACTGGTATAGATACTGAAAATTAAAGTCCCAACTTCTTTAATTCAGACTTAGTAATTTTTTTCAAATTAACTCACAAAGTATAGTGGTATTTAATGAGAAACTTTAAGAAGAAAAATGTATTGACACAAGTGCTTTGTTAAGGTAAAACGTCCAACGACTTACCTTTTCTTTTTGTAATGAATAAGAGCAAAGAATATATGTGAAGCCATAACATAGAGAGAACCTCAGTTGGGAAGGAAGGAACTTTTAATCTTGACTAATTCACTATTTCCCATGAAATTGACTAGATTGTTTACAACAAGATCTGCTATAACAAACTACTTTTTTAAAAGTGTATTGACATCATTGTGAAATATCAAAACTTCAATTTCTGTAAAGCTTGTTATCGGAAATTGCACTTGTTTAGACTATTTTCTTTTTTTCTTTTTTTTTGCCAATCAGTTTGAGCTTATGAGGTTGCTCAGGTTAGCCTTGAACTCATGACCTTGCCTTCACAAGTGCCACGACCTCCGGCGGGAGCCACTTTGGCTCCCTAGACTATTTTCTATAGAAAATCCCTCACTTAAAAGTTACAAATTCAGTTTTTAATGGGTATAGAATTTGCTCATCAACCTTAAAACATTGCTAGTATTGATTCTGGCCTCATTGATGTTGTTATAATTCAATCAACCAGTACAAAAGCTGTGTACTCTTCCCTGTCAATGACATTTTTAAAAATTCAGTTCATAATCTTGGGAAGTTTTTTTTCTCAAGTTTGAAAAATTAATGGTGGCCAGGCACAGTGGCTCACACCTGTAATCTCAGCACTTTGGGAGGCTGTGGTGGGCAGATCACTTGAGGTCAGGAGTTCCAGACTAGCCTGGCCAATATGGCAAAATCCTGTCCCTACTAAACATACAAAAATTGGCCAGGCGCAGTGGCACATGCCTGTAGTCCCTGCTACCTGGGAGGCAGAGGCATGAGAATCTCTTGAACCTGGGAGACAGAGGTTGCAGTGAGCCAAGATCACACCACTGCACTCCAGCCTGGGTGACAGAGTGAGACTCTATCTCAAAAAAAAAAAAAAAAAAAACCAAAAAAACAGTTAATGGTGTTTACAATATAATTTGTTTATATATTAAAATACCCAACGGAAAGTCTCAATTCTTCCCCATTGGCAGCCTATGTATGCCAATATGATATGTGTGCCATAAGAGACCCAATCTAACTTCTAGTGCTATGATAGGATCTGGGCTTAGAGGTCAGTGTCTGCAATGTCTTAGCAAAACTAGGATATCAACAGCCTCATGAACACCTTTTTAAGAACTCCTTCTGCCTACTGTTTGTAAAACTCAATTCCTTTTAAAAATGCTGTGTGTGTTTTGAGATGGAGTCTCACTCTGTTGCCCAGGCTGGAGTAGAGTGGCACAATCTTGGCTCACAACAACCTCCACCTCCCAGGTTCAAGCAATTCTTATGCTTCTGCCTCCAAAGTTGCAGGGATTACAGGCATATGCCACCTTATCAGGCAAATTTTGTGTATATTTAGTAGAGATGGGGTTTTACCACATTGCCCATCTCTGGCCTGATCTGCCCACCTTGGCCTCTCAACATGCTGAAATTATAGGCATGAGTCACCATACCTGGCCAAAATGCTGGTTTTTTAAACAATTGTTTTTATTATCCTATATATTGCCTTTAGTATGAATACCCCTTCGTCTATACTGTTTGTCAAGGGCCTTCTTTTATAAGAATTACCACATCTGTTTATGTAGCAATGAGTTTGTTTGCCTTTTACTTTCTTTTGACTTCCAGGAGGGGTAAGTACAGTTTACATTTCTTGGGATAATATGGGTATACTTACCCTTTTCTGCACTTTAGAATTATCCAAGAGAGGAAAATGGTGAATATAATAAGGAAGATTGTACCAGATAAAGTGCCTAGGCAATAAAACAAGGTAATTAAATGCATGAAGACTATAACTCATAGGTTTTAAACTCTTAGTATCCATTCTCATTACAGATTGTTAATGCTTTTTTTCTAAGGTGTAACTATACATTCTGCTTTACTCTGGGTTTCCGTAACATTAGTCTTACTCCCACAGAGGTATTATAGTTAAGGGGTGAGCTGAGCTGTTTTGTAACCTTTAGTCCAACATCAGCCTTTTCACAAGTGAGTGAGAACCATATGGTGCAGCTGCCCACTGGCTCTCCATGGCCCTGCCCATGTCTCCTGCCTAAGACTCAACGCACAGGCATTTCATTGTGACAATTGAGAATTTTCTCCCTTGTTGAATTATATATTGAGCTTCTTTATCCATTTATTGATTGTTGAAGTTCACAGTCTCCACAGATAGGTAGATAGCCTGGTTAGACCCAGTCTACCCCATTCTGTGGTCTTGGGCAAGTTACCTGAACCTCTGTGTCTCAGTGTCCACGTGTGTAAAAAAGAATGTAAGAATACTATGCCACAGAGGAAGCAAACTCTATTAGAAAACTATTCTTCTGATATAGGCAGATCACAGATATGGGCTCAGAAGACTAGTCTGTGGCTATTTGTGTGAATGGACACTATCACCATTTGGAAGCATACTCCAGGTTGTAACCCAAAGAAGAAGTTGCATTCTCCTACCACATTCAAATAAAGAATAAAGAATTTTTGACACTGATGAATGATTGATTATTCGTTTGTAATGGTTCAAAGACAGTAAAGAAGCTTTGATGAAGGTTACTCAGTATGCATATGACGATGCCAGTTTCACCATATCCTGGCCTAAACTCTTCATTATTTTCTTTCTAGTTGAATTTACAGTTCAAGATATCTTGATCTCTTTTTTATATTTCATTCATTATAGGTAGGTACTCACTGTTAAAGATGCCAGAATTCCTCAGCAAACCCTTCATAAAACTTACCAACTATGAGAGCATTATGTGCACCTAAAAGGAAGACAAAAACCACAAAACCGTCACTCTGGCATGAAACATGATTGAACAGGCCTCTCAGCCAGTGACAAGTCATCCTGATTTTTCTTTAGCACTCCGTCTAATATTTTTTTTAATGCAAAAAGCCATTGGTTTCATTCACATACTCTCATTTTACCTTCTGCACTCAGAGAAGTCTTTTAAAAAAGTAATATAATTACAGAAAAAAATTTATAATACAGAACTAAAGAAAAAAGTCACCCCAAATCATAGTACCCCAAAAATGTTTTCATACATTCTGTTTGGTACATTTTCTCATATGTGTGCTTTCAGATAATTATACAGTAGAAAAATAAGTTGCAACAAAGGCAAAGTAATATAATTTAGTAGATGCATCAGAGTGTATTCAGTGACCTCTATTGTGCATTTCAGTTGCTTCTAGTTTCCCATGAAACGGTTAAGAAAATGGGCAAAATATTTTTATATTATACGTCATTTCCTTAGATTAGATTTCTAGGAGGGCTGACTGGCAGGAATAGTTGTATTATTGTCCACATACATTGCACAATTGTTTTTCATCAGGGATTTTTCAAATTTACAATAAATAGCACCTTCAACATATGACAATATCTGTTACATCACATCCTTGCTTTTTATTGGGTGTTTACCTAAAAACCTTCTTGTTGTTCATTTAATTGACAATTTAAAAACAATGTTTTGTTCTTGTTGCCCAGACTCAAGTGCAATGGCACAATCTCAGCTCACTGCAACCTCTACTTCCCCCATTGAAGTGATTCTCCTGCCTCAGCCTCCCGAGTAGCTGAGAGGATTACAGGCGCCTATCACCATGCCTGGCTAGTTTTTGTATTTTTTTTAGTAGAAAGGGGTTTCACCAGTGTTGGCCAGATTGGTCTCGAGTTCCTGACCTCAGGTGATCCATCCGCCTCAGCCTCCCAAAGTGCTGGGATTACAGTGTTAGCCACCATACCCTGCCCCTTTATTTTATTAATATCAGTTTTGTCCCACTTGTTTACATGTTTCTTCTTGTGCTGGTGCCAAGTAACTTTTGTGTTATTGGCTTATGTTTTGTTCTAATATTTGATAGGGTTAATTCCTCAACTACCTGAATTTTGTCAGTCCCAGCCAGATCTTCAGAATCCTCTAAATCCAGTTAGTAAGTTATCCATTGAGATTTTTGCCAAAAAAGTGAATATAATTTGATTTTAAGGGAATGTCAAGCTGATAATTGAGAAATATTATCTGTGAGTCATATTGGTTAGCACATTTACAGGATTAATTGTAAAAATGGATCTTGAACAATCTAGGTGTAGAACCATGTATTAGCAGAGTCATAGGAGGGGGGAGAGGAGAAAGTATAGCACTAACTTAGATTAAGAAAGGCTATTCATGATTAATTTTGCTCATCTGTTCCTTGATGTGGGTAGAATTTTCTCTCTTACAGTACCTTCCAGTTGCCAGCAGAGGGCTCAATGACACATGCTACAGAGCTCAATGATACCCGATTTCGAAATCTGCCCTATCCAGCCGTGCTAGCTTAAAATCCTGTCGCCTACAGTGGTGTGAGAGACAGGCTGGTTGCTCTGCGCAGGTTGGAAGGTGCTCCCTAACTCATGCTGAAAACATTTCTTTTAAGGCTCATAGGCTGTAAATAAATCATTATTGTGTGGCTCATGCAACCACAGCGTGATATAAACAAAAAAGGTACAGAGCTGTAGTGAGAAGTGTGAGAAGACAAAGTCTGGCCTTACTCTCACTAGGGGATTTTTGGAAGAGGTGGATGCACGTATCGTACTCCTTAGCTCGTAGCATACATACACTGTAAATATCACACCACACTTGATGCCAATATGGATCAAGTTAACCGTGACCATGACCCGGGAACCATGACCGGGAAGGGCCCACATTCCCTGCACTTGCACTTACGAGGGGTACATATGGCCAGAGGAGGGTCCCATCTGTCATCCGCCTGGCACTGGCTCCGGGGACTGCCTTCCAGAGTATACCCATCTTCACACTCCAAAGTTACATAATCTCCATAGTGATATACTTTTCTCATTTCTAAGCTCTTCGGGATTCCATTCATAAACTGTGGGAAGCTACAATTTACCTCTGAAATGAGACAAATCATAAGGAAATTGATATTTTATTGTTGATTGTTGGTTTTATCCACCAGGGTAGAAGGCTTTATGACTCCAAAACCCATTTTGCCTTGCCCAAGAGGAAGCATATTTTTAATCAGGAATTACTAATCTTACTCCTCCAAAAAACTTATGATTTAACATTTTCTGACTCTGATTTCTTAATGTAAAGTAAGAGACCATGGAATGTACTGTGCATCTGCTTTTGATTAACAACCTGCAACTGGAAAGCTGCGGTAAGATTAGGAATTAAGCTAACTGTGTTCTAGGCCTGGAGCCACTTGGGTCACACTGTAAGGAAAGGGGAGTACCATGTTAACTCTAGCTTCACAACAAATACTGGTACTCTGCTCTTTATTAAATACATTATTCTGGCCCATTTCTGCACATAGAACAAAGAAGTTGGTAAATCATTATTCTGAATTTAAAATACCCTTCCCCTCCCCTCCCCTTCTTCCCCTCTCCTCCCTTCCCTTCCCATCCCTTCCTCTCCCTTCCCTTTCTTTCTTTTTCTTGCTCTGTCACCCAGGTAGGAATGCAGTGGTACTATCTTGGCCCACTGCAATCTCCCCCTCCTGGGTTCAGGCAATTCTCCTGCTTCAGCCTCCCGAGTAGCTGGGACTACATGCGTGCACCACCACACCCAGATAATTTTTGTATTTTGGTGGAGATGGGGTTTCACCATGTTTTCCAGGCTGGTCTCAAATTTCTGACCTAAGGTGATCTGCCCACCTTGGCCTCCCAAAGTGCTGGGATATCAAGCCCGAACCACTGTTCCCGGCCTGAGTTTAAAATACATCTTTCTGATTCATTTGCTTTAGTTCATTTAACTCATTATTTGTTTTACTTTCTTTTTCTGCCCAGCCATCAGTATGTCCTTCATCTTCAAGCACTTCTTTTCAGTTGTAATAGTCTCAAAATTACCTACAATATTTTTTTCCTCTATACAAACCAAGAAGGCAAAGTGGTATTTCTTAAAGTGTGGTCTGCAGTCTTCCTACATCAGAACATTCTGATGAGTTTCTTAAAAACAGACTTTTGACCTCACTTCAAAACAGAATCAGAGTCCATGGAATGGAGTTTGAGGATCTGTCTTTTTAACAAGGTTTCCAGCTGATTTGGCTAATGCTCTGGATAGAGAAACATTGCTATAGACCATGCAATGAAGAAAGTTAATAAGATGAAATGAAAGCTGCCAGGAAGACAAAATATTTCCCTTTTCATTATAATCATTTCAATGGTCTCTCAGCCCTACAGGCCTCATGCATCAATTTTCCATATAACCCAGCAAGAATAAGAAATACCGAGAAATGAGTCACCTTTGCAATAATGATCCAGTTGGCTCCAGGTTCCCTGGTCTGTACAGAAAATGAAGGTCTTTCCCACTAACAGGTAGCCGGGGTCACAAATGTAGTTGATTATCGTACCAGGTAGATATGGAGGTATGTGTCCTCCTATGTAATGCCCGTTTTGGATCTTGGGTAGATGTGGGCAGGCTAAACAAGTTCCCACACAAACACAAGGAAAAACACTCAGTTAAACATAGATATATGAACACATCACCACATCCAATAATATCTCTGGCTATTAGAGATACATGAAGACCTGAGCCAACCAAGTCATAAGCCACTCACTCTTATTTTATCAGTGAAACATGGTTTCTCTAAACCTTGACCTCAAGGCATTTAAACAGTATCCTCTCCAGTCCCTACCTGCAAACTGTGTCAGATGGGGGAGTACCACAGGGATTGACAAGCTGATTGATTCAGTGCTGTTCTGTCATTACAGGAGGATGGAGCTGGTGCAGGCAGTCACAGCTACAAATGCACCTACGATTGTCAGGTACTGTCGTTTAAAGCCAGAGTAATATATTAAAGAAAGGAGCTATGGAGGCTAAGTACAATCTTAAACTCTGCTTCTGTAGGGCCTCCTGAGTTCCCTTTGTTAATGGTGAGGTGAAGGAGTCAGTGCCTTGAATAAACACTTGGAAACAACATAAAAAGTATAAATCCCAACATCTGAGTTTCTTAAATTACTTTACAGCATTATCAGTTCTGAAGTAAATTACATCATCAACATGTACTTTTTGTGCAGCACGTTCATCTATCCAGGATACAGACAACTCGTAGTAGTACAGGAAGAATCAAACAAATTTCTTTAGCATTTGTTTTCATATTTTGAAAATTTTCTCTGCAAAATCTGGACCTCACCAATTCTCTTCACTGTCCACCCCCTTCTCTCCTTACCATCCCACACTCCTCACCCCACAGGAAGGGTCATCAGAATACCCACAATTGAGATACAGCCTGCCAATCTAGAACCCATTTGTCATTCTCTTGGGACATAGTTCTGTCTCTGACAGTCATAGCAAAGCAAAATGTTCATAAACAAAAATGACTGTCTTTACAGAAATGTAGAAGTTGTCACCTAGATATTCTGAACCCATTTAGGATATGTGGAAGCAGATACTGACCAGCAGGAGCAGAAAGTTCACAGTGAGGGGCGGGACTGCTCCAAACTCCATTCCCTTGAGGGTCACTGGTGCAGCGGATGGTGCTCTCCCCAATGAGGTCGAAGGTCATCCCTCTGTCTGGGTGGGGGTCGCATGTGTAAGATATTTCTTTTCCATAGGGAATATCTCCAAGGGGAGTTCCTGTATGTGTCCCATTAAGGATAGCTGGAGGATTTGTACAAAATATTTCTAGAAAGAAAATAAGAGCTTTAAGTTCTATGAGAGTTTCAAATAAGATGACTGAAATCATGGTGACCTGTGACTGTGCTCTGAATAAATTGTTTTTCTTTTAGAAAGAATATAACTAAGGTGGATGAAATGTAAATCTGTAAGGCTTTGGTGAGAAGGAACTAACTGATGCAAGACCTAAATTACAGTTTCTTGCAAAAGCCCGAAGATGGTGATCCTTGACCAACCAGGTAGCTACATTCATAGTGAATTTGGAAAGTAATAATTTCTTTTTTTAACAACACCCATTTGGTTGCCTACTTTTAATCAGGCATAGGGAGATTCTTGGGTTGACAATGAGGTCAGGCAGACAAAGTTTGGGCCATCAGAGACCGTAAGTTCCAAGGAAATCTGTGAACTTGAATAAACATGCACTATCATCTTTAGCCACGTAAATGTTTCTTGGTGATTCAAGACCATTATCATCACTACCAATACCAACTATCCAGCGGTGTCATCAGACTACACTGGTAAGGCTCTTTTTACCAAGATTAAATGGTGGCAAAGGGCCTTTTTTTTTACTCTCTTCCAAATTTTTAGTCATCATTTCTTCCTCCTTTTAGTCTGCTTAGAACTGTTCTTTCCCTAAAATCAACTGATGCTTCTAAATGAATTTAGGAAAAGAGATGCCCATGTATATCAGAATTATGTGTGTATAAAAGACTTAAATTCTCATGCTTGGATTTTACTTGTTTGTGTTTTTCCTAAGTTTATTTACGTATTTATTTTCAGCTCTATGGATCTCTGTAAGGTTGAGTTTATTGAATACTTGAGTTTCCTCAGGTATTGAATGTTCTTCACCATAATACTCCCCATCAGGTACCGAATTAATTTCTGTAAGTTATTTTAACCATACAAATTAAAATAAACATTTTTTAATCATCAGTAAAAAAAGGTTTAAAAAATTCTTGCCTTGCTGTAGTAGACAGAATAGGATAAATCAGTAATGTCTTGGTATATAAAACATACTTTTATGTACCAATTTCTGAATTGTGGCCTTTTTTATGTAAGCGGATGGTTTGGACACTTAGGACACCTCTTCATTTCAGACACTGATCCATCATCCTAGCTCCTTCCACCATACTAATTTACCATATAACCCTTTTTTATCATCTCTACAATATCCCTATTAACTATCATATTATAAGTTTGGCATATTTAATTTAAGCACATGGTTTGGAAACGTAGGACATCTCATCATGCCAGACACTGATACATTATCCCAGCTCCCTCCACCATACTAATCTACCATGTAACTCTGTTTTATTTTCTATAACATATCTGCATTTACCATTTTATATGTTATAATTTGTAGAATTTTGTTTACTTATTTATTTTCTTGTTCATAGTCTGATTCCCAACAAGAAAATACACTCCAGAAAAGTAAGGAGGTGTCTTCACTATTCATTCACTGTTCATGCTTTTTCTACACATGGAAAGTCATGGCACATGGGAAGCCCCATGCCATTAGACACTGCAGGCTAAATAACAGGCTGACTAAATTGTTTATGATGTATGAGAAGATAAAAGAACATCAACATTTGGCTGGGCATGGTGGCTCACACTTGCTATTCCAGCACTTTGGGAGGCTGCAAGGTGGGAGGATAGCTTAAGCCCAGGAGTTTGAGACCAGCCTGGACAATATGACAAGACTCCATCTCTACAAAAAGTACAAAGAATAGCCAGGTGTGGTGCCATGTGCCTGTAGTCCCAAATACTGAGAGACTGAGCTGGAAGGATTGCTAGAGTCCAGAAAGTTTAGGTTGCAGTGAGCTCTGATTGCACCACTACATTCTGTCCTGGGTAACTCTTGTCTCAAAGAAAAAAAAATTTAAGAAAGATTACTCCTTGATAAGGAAACTGAAATATAAATGACTGGATAATACTTGCTGCACCTTTATGTCATCTAGTTTCTGGCCACACATTCCCCACAAAATTAAACGCTGTCATTAAACTAAGTGATTTATGGATTAGTAACAAAAACACGTGTCATAGAAGACCTACAAGGCCTTTCTTGAAATTCTTCCAACAAAGAAGTATTTTTATCAGTAATTTAGTTAAGCAACATTCAGACAACAGGTGATTCCATGCAGAATAACACACTGGAAAACAAAAATAAAGAGAGCTATCCAAACTTCATAGTTGTTCTTCCTACTCACGATCACACACTGGAACACTGCTATTCCAAAGGGCTTTCATTCCAGACAAAACACAATGACTAGCAGACCTGCCTTTTAATCGGAACCTGAAAAAAAAGTGGTAGCAAATGTGTGAGCAATTCCCATCTCTCCCTTGATTTCTTCACTCATAGATGCTCAGCTTCCTCACTACCATTTCCTCCTTGACTAGCATTTGGTTCTTAGATTCAGGCCCAGCTAAAAGTCTCAGTTCATTAGGGATCTGAATTCTTCAGTAGCTGGCAGAAACTCAAAGGCCAATTTATTCTAAAGAATCATGGTACCCTGTGACTAGCAAAGCAATTAGAGCTGATGTTGATAATTGCCATATAAACTTCATAGCCCAGCATCACCTACAGAATGCATGAACACAGAACCAGACTTCTCCATGTGCACAAGAGCCATAACCTTCAGGTGTTATTTTTCACTGATGGCTCTTTGACATCCCACTTATTTTCCTTAGTTGGTCACGAGGCAGAACAGCTCTTGATTTGGTAAGCAAAGCAAGGAACATCTAGAAAGAGAATGGGCATTGTTCTTCTTGCCATGACAACTGTAACAAGGCAGAGGAGGCTCATAGAAGCATGCTGAACCACATGCTTTAAGAAATAAAGAAGGATCAGGGGAAGAGTCTTTGCCACCTCAAAATGCCCAACTTATTATTGAATCCCACTTCCCTTCTGAAATCCGAAATCATTCTGAAATTGGAAATCATTATTAAGTGATGGACTTTGTAAATGCCAAAGATTCCTTGGAAATCATTAAAATTAACCGCTTAATTATCCAATCTAGCCTCAGACTTGTAGGGCACACAAAAAAGAGTAATGGATATACATAAACAACTAATAGTACCACTTGAAACCGAAAGAAGCAGGAGGCAGACAAATCCGAGGCAGATAGGGGCAGGTCCACAGTGAAACTTGGCCTTCAAGCCAAAGACAGTTTAAAGCCTACCTACAAGTTCCAGGTAAACCCATGGACTGGATGGAGAAACTGTCTTCCCATGTGGCATGCTTTCCTCTGATTGATGCCCACCCATCATGTATTTTACATATACCTGCTCTTCTCTAAATTGTTTTTTACAGTGTCTTGCCCAACTTTGATTGATGGCTTTGTTTTAGCCTTTTTTGCATACTCACCAACCAATCAGCTCACACTCCCCGTTCTGAATCTGTAAAAGCCCCAGAACCAGCCATACTGAGAGAGAGACCCCCTGACTTCATCCAGGGGACCACCCTTGTGTCTCTTCTCCACTGAGAAGTTGTTTTATTGCTCAGTAACAATGTTCTTCTCCACCCTCCTCACCCTTTGTCAGCATAACCTTATTCTTCTTGGACGTGGGACAAGAACTCAGGACCCACCAAACACAGTTACAAAGAAGGCTATAACAAAGTGACCCTCCACCCTCTGCTAGAGGAAGGCAGCTGCTCCATGTGACAGGAAGCAGCAGTGGGCCAAGCTCACCCTGGAGAAGCAGGCCTGAACAGGTTCATGGGATTGACAGGGCTGTTAACACACCAACATCTGTTGGGCTACAGGCATTATCAAATGCTAAAAGCTATTAGCATGCTGTAGCACCCTCTCTGGGACTTTGTGGCCATGGGCACCCCTGTTTGGGCACTACCATTTTCCCTTCAGTGTGACATGCCTGGTCCAGCTTCAAAACCCACATGAAGCCCACTCCTGTGCCGTTGCTTAGCATGGCCAGCCAGACCCCACACTCGCTTACTCACATACCCCCTCCCACCAGGGCCGATCATGCAGTCATGGCATGTGATCCACGTCAGAGCACAAGCCAGGCATGGCCTGGTGGGCAGAGTAGATGTGGTGTCTCCTGCGGTGAGCCCAGGTCGAGCAAGGCCTGATCGGGGTGTTACTGGCCAGAGGTCACTGGCTGGCAAAATGGTTGAGAAAAGTTCTGCATGAAAACAATTACACTGGCCATTCCTGACATGAAGATATGTAATTGGATTAAAACATACTTATCCATACGCTATTACAGATTCCAGTATTGATTGGCTTTACACTTCCCAAAACAACCTTTGCCTTATTATGAGGCAACCAATTTTTTGTCTTACTCATCAATTTTTTTCTAGCATAACTTTTATAAAATTATATTCTTTTGCCTCCAAATAAATATGTACTCATTCATTTCAAGTTCCAACTGTGTACTCAAGTTCAGTGACTGTATTTAGGTTTGTAACTGATATCGAGCTGTATGTGCCATTTCTCATTGTCTTCTGAAAGTGGTGCCACTTACTTCCTACCTTATTTCAAAACTACCCTTCCATAAATAATCTCTCTGGGTAATTCTTATCTACTAGTTCAGCCCTTTTTCAGAATTAACTCCTGAACTCAGAAGAGTCATTCTCCACACTGAGTCCTTGGTCTCAACTCTGGGTCACACTCACCCTTTGTTGCAAACGAAGGACACCTTTGCTCCAAGCTGGAGATTAAGTGGAAACAGCACACGGCCATGAGGGAGTTGGCCCAGGAAGTCATCACAGGATTTCACTAGAAAAAAAAAAGGAAAAAAACATGAGTAAGGCCTCCATGTGAGGGGTACAGAGAGCAATCTGGAAGCCAGAGAGTCGAGGCACCTGCACATCTGGGGGCTTCAGGGCTCCAGTCTCCCTGGGGTGTGCAGTGCAGAGAAGCAGCCCCTCTGAGGTCATAACCGGGCTCACAGCTGTAGAACACTTCCTGTCCAGGTGAAAAGTTGTCCTGATCACTTGGGGTATGCTCACCATGCAGGATTTTTGGAGGTGGCTGACACACTGTGGGAAGGACAGTTCCAGAGTACTTGTTAGTTACGGGGGAATTTCTTTTGCTAGATCTTATGCTTGCCAGAGAGTGTAAAAATGGTCATTGCAGAGTGCAGATATTAAAAGAGAACATTGGTCATTCAGTAGTCACGTTTCACTAACAAGGAAATGAAGGATACCAAGCAGAGCTGTGACTAGAATCAAGGTCTCTCCAACACCTTGTCTGTGTTTTTTCTACTGAAACATGTTCCTAAGACTACAAGGTAGCATATTCCTCTTGCTTTCAACACTGGTTATGCAGCACAGAGTCGTGCAGGTGGCTTGGCCACTCTTCTGCTTCATCGGGAGGCTGTCTTTCAAGCTCATCGATAAGGCAACTGCAAGGGGTACCATTGCCAGGATCTCATCTAACAGACCCCTTCACCTAGTCTTCATTTTCCCTCCCTGTCCCTCTTTCAGCCAGCACAAAGTTGAACTCTTAGCTTTCTTTCTGTCTCTGTGGACCTGTCCTAATTTTTCCCACTCCATGTTAAGCCAGTCATTTCAACAAAGGAAAGAGGGGGCATCAAGAACAAAATCTCCTGGGGTGAGGGAAGGTGGGAACAGTTAGTGAGTACAAAAAAAAAGAAAAAGAAAGAATGAAATGGACCTGGCATTTGATAGCACAACAGGATGACTATAGTTAGTAATAACTTAATTGTACATTTGAGAATAAAATATTATTTTTAATAAGATTATTAAAAATAATCTCCATGATTATTTTTACATTGCATACCTGTATCAAAAAATTTCATGTACCCCATAAATATATACACCTGGCCAGGAGTGGTGGCTCACGCCTATAATCCCAGCACTTTGGGAGGCCGAGGTGGGTGGATCACAAGGTCAAGAGATCAAGACCATCCTGGTCAACATGGTGAAACCCCGTCTCTACTAAAGATAGAAAAAATTAGCTGGGCATAGTGGCGCATGCCTGTAATCCCAGCTACTCGGGAGGCTGAGGCAGGAGAATTGCTTGATCCCAGGAGGTGGAGGTTGTGGTGAGCTGAGATTACGCCATTGTACTCCAGCCTGGGTAACAAGAGCAAAACTCCATCTCAAAAAAAAAAAAAAAATATATATATATATATATATATATATATATATATATATATATTTATATATATATATACCTATTATGTACTCACAAATATTAAAAATTAATAAATTAAAAATAAACAAAGAACAATCCCCCCAAAGAAAAAAACTCTACAGACTTTTTGGTGAGAGAACATATTCCTTAGAACACATTTTGACCCAAATTTTGGCCGCCTCCATGCACAGCACAATTGGTGTGTTCTCAGGGCGTCAGAATGCATTTGAAACCAGGCATGGTGGCTCGGGCCTGTAATCCCAGAACTTTGGGAGGCTGAGGCAGGAGTACTCCTTGAGGACAGGAGCTCAAGATAGGCCTGGGCAACATAGCGAGACTATCTAAAAATAAATAAAAATTAACCAGGTGTGGCAGTGTGCATCTGTAGTTCCAACTACCTGGGAGACTGAAGCAGGAGGATTACATGAGCCCAGGAGTTACAGGCTTTGGCAAACTATGATTGTACAACTGTACTGCAGCCTGGGCAACAGAGCTGGAGTACAGTTATCTCTGAAAAACAAACAAACAAACAAACAAACAATCAAGAAAACCCCGAAGAAAGCATTTGAGCCTCAATCCGAACCATATATAAAGGAAAATGAGTATATATCAAATATATATATAATATCATATATATATGTGCTTGGATTTGAGCAAAGCACTTTTTCTGAGCTTTAGTTTTTTCAGTTACAATGTGAAAGAATTGAAGTCCAAGGCCTTTTTGATTTGATGCTCTCATTTTGGTCCTCATGGCTCACTTGCCTACTGCCACGCTCCAGGGATAGAGATATTATCATCACTATTACACATTATTGTTCCTTATACATTTGACCGTAGATTATCATTAGGCTCTGGAGTCAGAGCCTTGGAAAAGTGCTTTAACGTTACTAAGACTCAGTTCTCTGGAAGTAAAATGCAGATACCAATAGTAGCTACCTCATAGATTTGCTGTCAATATTAAATTTTAAAATGCATATAAAATATGGCTACTATAAATGAAAGAAATAATAAACTTTCAGACAATTAACAGATAACAGTGAAGCTACTATTACGTTTAGAGTGTTTATGCCAATTTCATAGCTCTCACACATTTCCTTAATTTCAACAACTCCTATCATCTGAAGGTACCCTCACACCCAGCAAAGCCTTTATGGGTCACACTCACCCCTGGAGCAGTGCGGCAGCTTGGGTCCCCATCTGTTGTTTGTCTGGCACTGCACGACGTGGAACCCTACCATGACAAAGCCGGGCTGACATCTAAATCTCACGATCTCATTGAGGAAATATAAATTCCTATTTGCTGTCACTCTAATTCCATTTTCAACTTCTGGAGCTGTGCATTTATTAACAGAAACACACTGAGGTGGAGGGCTGTTCCAAACCCCGACTTGATCATCCTCGCTGGTGCAGTGTATTGACCGTTCTCCCACAAGCTCAAACAGCTGTTCTCCATCTGGTCCAGTGTGGCACTGGTAAGTTACCACTGTTCCATTGTGAAAAGAAGTTCTACCGTTGCTGTAGAAGTCTCCGTTGGATATGGTTGGAGGTGGCTCACAAGATATGACTGAGAGAAGGAAGAGTATGGTAAAACAGCTTTTTTAAAATTATAAATTATTTTACTATGAATTTAAATACCAAATGCAACTAATTCGATGATTTTCTAAATGGAATCACGATACTGTTATTTTCTTAAAGTATCTGCTAATAATCAGACATTTTTACCTAGTTGAAATTTAGGTGTGTGTGATATGGGTTTCGCTCATAATAAATATTGAACATAAAAATCCATGTTTTTAATGGTATACATATTTATAATTTTAAGTGGATGATACATGTGATTTTTTCACAGATTGTTAAGGTGCTTATCTACTGCTGGACTATTTTTCCTATAGGTTATTAAAATAACGTCTTTGCAGATTAAATATACCACTTCTGGCATTATTTATCAAGAAAAAGAGAGGAAAGGAAATACAAAAGATAAAGCATGAGAAAATGAAATAATGACAAATTTATGGGTAATAAAGTGATAAACGAATACTGTATTCTATCATAATATAATAATGGTGACATACTGGTTAAGTGACTTCACACACATACATTCATAACCAGTACTGACTTATTTAAGTAATTACTGACCTATACAACTAGAAGTGGAAGTATTTTTTATAAAAGATAACCCCCGGCCGGGCACGGTGGCTCAAGCCTGTAATCCCATCACTTTGGGAGGCCGAGGCGGGTGGATCACGAGGTCAAGAGATCGAGACCATCCTGGTCAACATAGTGAAACCCCGTCTCTACTAAAGATACAAAAAAATTAGCTGGGCATGGTGGCGCGTGCCAGTAACCCCAGCTACTCCGGAGGCTGAGACAGGAGAATTGCCTGAACCCAGGAGGCGGAGGTTGTGGTGAGCCGAGATCGCGCCATTGCACTCCAGCCTGGGTAACAAGAGCGAAACTCCGTCTCAAAAAATAAAAAAATTTAAAAAATAAAAGATAAGCCCTACAAAAGGAGCCATGCTTAGAAAACTTCATATAGTAAACTGATAATTCTTTGATAATTTGAATTATTTCATAGAATTTTAAGTTCTGGTAGGCATAGGAGGTAACTTACATGCATTCTCATTCACTTAATCTTTAAAAGTCAATGTTTTTTTTAAGGGGAGGAATATTTGTGAATTCATTGAATTCACAAGGAATATTTGTAAATTCATTGTACCAAGTTTATAAAATATGGACAAACAGAATAAAATGAAAATGGTTCAAATATAACTATTTGTAATAATTTAATATATATACTCTTAGATACATATGTGGATACATGCATATGTGTGGATGGATATATTTTCTGTGATACCATTTTTGGTGGCTAAATAATAATCGGTCATGTAGCTATATAGATATACTATCTATTCCCACTTGGATGAGGCATCACAACCTTTAATTCCTCATGGTGCACTTTTTTTTACCTTTCTTAAAAACTTATAGCCATTGAAATACACCTTATTTCTTCTATTAGCTATTTTCAAACCACGCTGAACGTTCAGGTTGTTTTTCCGCTATCACAAATATTATTGCATTGAGTATCTCTGGACCAAAATCATGGGAATATTTCATGATTATTTTCTTGGGATAAATTCTGGGAAATGGAATTGTGGGTCAGAGGGTATTTATTATCAGGATTTTGTTTATATCGGTCATTAGCCTTCTGGAAGTCTGTGTCTACTTTTGCTGCCATCAACTCTGTGCGATGCTGATTTCTTCACAGCTGTGACACTTTGCCAATTTGCAATCATTCTTCCATGTTCTCAAAGTTTTGGAGATTCATTAAAAAATACTAATGGGAAAAATGGAGGGTCAGGTAACCAAGAACAAATCCAACTAGAGACCTGAGCCTGGTTTTCTGTTCTTGTGTCAGTTTGATGAGAATGATGGTTTCCAGTTTCATCCATGTCCCTGGAAAGGACATGAACTCATCTTTTTTTATGGCTTCATAGTATTTCATGGTGTGTATGTGCCACATTTTCTTTTTCCAGTCTATCATTGATGAGCATTTGGGTTGGTTCCAAGTCTTTGCTATTGTGAACAGTGCCTCAATAAACATAAGTGTGCATGTGTCTTTATAATAGAATGATTTATAATCCTTTGAAAGAAATGAAGGAGGATTAGAACTCAAAATAATCAGAGACTTAGGAAAATTTCTAAGGACTGTAGGAAGAATTCTTTTTATTATTTGGATTAGAATAACAAGAAAGTGAGTAGCCTACTTTCTGGAACTGTAACTTGATAGTAAGAGCTGGCAAAGACAGATCTAATTTTGTCTAATGCCTTTCATATTTACTCATTAAGGACAACACTCTCTATATTGGAAAGGTTTACTATTATAATAGGAAAGTAGGGCTATTTGCCTGGGTTCAAGCCTATAGTGTCAGATAAATCACCTTGTAAGATAAAGAAAAGCCAGGAAGATCATGAAGCATCTGACTTGTATTTTCAAAAATCTGAGAGACTACTTTGTACCAGGTTTAGATATATTCTTCGTACTCCAGGGGCAAGTCAGGATCACATGGAGGAATTTGTGGAGAAAAATATTTCAACTTACTCTCACAAATAGGCGCCTCCTTATCCCATGCAACATTATTGCCTGAGACGAGACAAGTAGTGGATGGGGAACCAATGAGTCGAAACCTAAAGCAAAGGATAAAAAATAATTATACTCTACACATATTTCCCATTTAACTCACCATTCAGAAAATAATAGCTGGTAGACATTAGACATTACAGGACAAATTACACCATGGCAGACATCGGAAGGAAGAAATCCCATCTCCATCTGCAAAGTAGTCCTTTCTTTTTAAGGACAAGGTTACATTGTAACCTCCCCAATTCATTTTTATTCCTAGTCCCTCACAACTGAATGAGATATTTCCCTTATGTGACATGGGGCATGTTTGTACTTAAGTTGTTAGGAAACTTCGCAGTTATTTTATCCATGTGTACCTCTAGCAAGGAAATGATAAGCTCCTGGATTAAGCAGTGAAGATGTCTTACTGAAATACATAACACTGTAGCACCTAGCTTAGCGACTTTCAAGCTTTGGGCGCTCAGATAATCTCTTGCATAAAGGAAAGAACGGTGGATTTACCCAGAAGTCAGTAAATGAGAGCCAGAGAAGACAGCTAAACACCCCTACACTTGAAATGTGAAAGGCAGGGATGCTCACCCACTTTGCCATAAAACCTTCCAGAGTAGTACACAAAACATAGAACAGTGTGTCTTTTAAAAAATTTATTAGGTATCTATAATATTACTATGAGTAAGGTCACAAAGAATGCTGAGCAAAGCTATTCATGTGTTCTGGTGTACAGCAGAGCTAAACTTGACCAAGTAAAAATTAAAGGGTAAAATAGAATGCCATATAACCGTGAGGCAGTAACTGCAAGAGTTAAGAAGTTTTCCACTTGATTGCATAAGAAATGTGATCAGGGCAGTAACCATTTTGTAGTCAGGACTACTGGTGCCATCCCCAGTATCCACTTTCCCCTCCTTCATTAGTAATGGAAGCCTCTATTTTTAACTGGGCCACTGGCCACCTGCAATAAAGTTTTCGCTTCTCACCCTTCCTTACAGCCAGTTACAGCCATGTTACTAACTTCTGGCCAGATGATGTAAGTGGAGTCTCTTGTGCAACTTTTGGAAAATGCCTTTCAAGGAACTGACCTTCCCTTCTTCCCTGTGTCCTCTATACTTGCTGAAGTTTGGATCATGAAAAAAGATGGACTCTCATTTTGAGGAGGTCAGAGTAGCAAAATGGAAGGACCCCAGATTTCTGTGGATTATGAAGTTATTGTATAAACCCTGGACCGCCTACCTTAGTGATTTTTAACCTGACAGAGAAGTAAACTCCCATCTATGTTTGAGATCCAGTTATTTTATTTCTTCTGTCTTTTTACAGCTGGGTCTAATCTTAATTGACATACCAGCTCTTCCCAAAACAGTGACATAAAGCTAAAGGGAACTGTGTGACTATGGCAATGACAATGTTTTTGTAGACACAGTGAGTCTCTGATGTTTTAGGTAGTGATTGAATTTTGCTTATTGCTAGCCTGATAGGTTGTGCTGTAAAATCTTTTCAAGTGTGCCAAGAATCTTAAAAATTGCTGCAAATAAACAAGTTGAGAACCACTGGAGTAAGGAAAGAAGATGCTAATCCCATGATTGCCTGTGTTTTCCTCTGCCCGTCTCCTATCATACATTTAAAAGTTGTCTAAGAGCACAGGATCATGGGTGTCCTCTGACTCTTGGCCTCCTAGAGGTTGTGTTTGATGTGCTCGCTGTGACTAAGCTAGCGTGTTAGAGCCAAAACGTGAAGCAGCTTCCAGCCTAGGTGTGGCTGCGAAAACACAGTGAGTATTTTTTAAAATTTGATTTTATTTTTAAATTAACAAATACTAATTGTATATATTTATAGGGTAAAATGTGGTGTTTTGCCATATGTTTCTGTTGTAAATGATTAAATTAATTTACATGTCCTCATGTACTTTATTTTTGTGGTGAGAACATTTAAAATCTACTCTTTAACCAATATTTTCTTGTTCTTGTTCTTTTCTTTTTTTCTTTCTTTCTTTTTTTTTTTTTTTGACAGGCTCTGGCTCTGTCGCCCAGGCTGGAGTGCAGTGATGTGATCTTGGCTTACTGCAACCTCTGCCTCCTGGGTTCAAGTCATTCTCTCACCTTAGCCTCCCGAGTAGCTGGGACTACGGGTAATGCACTATCATGCCCACTTAAGTTTTTGCACTTTTTGGTAGAGACAGGGTTTTGCCATGTTGCCCAGGCTAGTTTCTAACTCCTAGGCTAAAGCAGTTCTGCTGCCTCAGCCTCCCAAGTGCTAAGGTATGAGACACTGCGCCCGGCCAGCAATTTTGAAATACACATTCTTATTAACTATAGTCACCATACTGTGGAAGAGTTCTCTAAAATGTATTCCTCCTGTCTCACTGAAACTCTGGGTCCTTTGACCAAATCTCAGCATCCCACCTCTCAGTACCTGGGAACCACTTTTCTGCTCTCTACTTCTATGAGTTCAACTGTTTTAGATTTCACAAATAAGTAAAATCATGTGGTATTAGTTCTTCTGTGCCTAGCTTATTTTGGAAGGTATTTTAAGGCACAAATATATTGTAGTGTAATTATGTTGTAATTTTTCCTGACTTGATATCCCGTGTCTGTAAAAGTATTTTATTGAAACCCAGGCTCATTCCCTAAGACTCCCTGTCTGGAATAATAAATATCTTACTTTTCCATTTAACAGAATTGTTCTGTCTGCATATAGTCCCCACTTTTTCTCCAAATAGTTTCTCAAGCAAGTGGAGTTCCTTTTCTGAAAGGATGAGTAAAACTTTAACATCTTTAAATCTTTATAAACACATGTTAAACCAAATGACTCACATCGTACATGGTTTTATAACCCTCTTTAATACTTATGAACTATATTGTACAATTATTCAAGTTATTATATATTGCTCTACAATGCCATTTTTAGTGGTTGTGTATTGGTTATTACTTGGATAGTCCATAACCTACCTAACAAAGTCCTTAATGTCTGGAATTAAAGTGATTTCTCATTTCAACTGTCAGCAAAAACACTACAATGCACGATCTTGTACACATGAAAAGAAATGAGATGAGAACTTCACTGACTTCAAAGACAGCCTGAGGATTCAGATCTTCACAGCTACACAAGAGACAAGATTTGCAGATTTGGGGAAAAGGCTATGCACAGTTTTAAGCCTTTCAGTACATATTGCCAAATTGCCCTCCACTAAACTTTGACCATGACCTACGAATTCTATTCCTTTCTATAGCTGGATAATATTCCACAGAATGTATAAGCTCCAATTTGTTTCTCCATTCATCTGCTCATAGAAACTTGGATTGTTTCTACCTTTTGGCTATTATGAGCAAAGCTGCTATGGATATTCATATTAGAGCACCTGCTTTAGTCCTCGTTTTAAATTTATTTTCTTTCTTTTTATTTATTTATTTTTTTAACAGTCTTGTCCTTTCGCCAGGCGCCAGGCTGGAGTGCAGTGGCGTGACCTCAGCTCACTGCAACCTCTGCCTCCCAGGGTCAAGCAATTCTCCTGCCTCAGCCTTCCGAGTAGCTGGGACTACAGGCAGGCACCACCATGCCCAGCTAATTTTTATATTTTAGTAGGGTTGGGGTTTCACCATGTTGGCCAGGCTTGTCTCAAACTTCTGACCTTTGGTGCCCCGCCCACCTTGGTGTATGTTTGGGGTTCTGCTCATGTAAGACTATGCATCTGTGCCTTGCAAGAATGGCAGCTTGGCTGAGTACAGAAATTTTATTATACAATATTTCCTCTCAAACACTAACTTCTGCTACCTAGCGTTACAGAACAGAAGCTCGATGCTAATATGAATTTCTTCTTTTTTGCTTATCTCTGGAGAGTGGCAGTATAGTTTTAAAATATCTGGATGGCATAATTTTCTTCCATGCAGGGCCCTTTACTGTTTATCTTGATTTGTTTAGTAAGCCTTCAATGATCAATGTAGTCTTTTCCTTTCTAGCCTGAGAAATTATCTTCCATCATGTGCTAATTAATTCTTCTACTCATTCTGCTTTCGTTTTTTTTTTTCTGAAATTTCTGTATTATATCTCTGTTTGAGATATAATTGCAAGTCTGGTTCTTGATGAATTCTGGAGATTTCCATCTTGTCTTCATTATCCCTTTGGGGTTTTGTGTGTGTGTGTGTGTGTGTGTGTGTGTGCGTGCGCGCGCTTGCATACAGGCTCCAATCTACCAGTCATCACTTCTTTTGAGACTCCCACGTGTTTCATTCACATCTTAACTTTTCTGATATCAAATAATTAAATCTTATAAATGTCTCTTATAGTTCCATCAATTCTGTTATAAACGTGACAGATTTCTAAAGATTTCCCCCTGCTTATTGGAGTAAACTGTTGTGTGGATGAGTATTTCTCTGATCTCTTAGGTTGGTTTCTTTTCTTTTCAATTGCTGTATCTTGCCTTAGGTTTGGTGAGTTTTCTTGTTTGTTTTTTGCTTACCATAGGGAGATCTACGTTCATTCACAATGGAGGTGAGAACAGTTTGGTTAAGAGGCTGTGTGAGAAGCAGTTAAAATCATCCAAGCTCAGACATAGTGAGAAAGAAGGAATACTGACTCACCGTGGTAATAGAATATAATGGGGCTGATGACCAGGGGCAGTTATTTGAGTAAAATTTAACATCTATCACATTTCTCCTTTCTGAATTTATCACGGCAATCAAAAATGAGCACACAGTCTTTTTTCTTTTTATTATATTTTAAGGTCTGGGTTACATGAGCAGAACGTGCAGGTTTGTTACATAGGTATACACTAGCCACGGTGGTCTGCTGTACCCATAACCCATTACCTACATTAGTTAATAAATGGTGTTGGATTCTTCTAATGCTATCTCTCCCCTAGCCATCCCCCTACCCTGACAGGCCCTGGTGTGTGATGTTCCCCTCCCTGTGTCCGTGTGTTCTTCATGAGAACACTGTCTTATGGACACTGTCCATGAGAACATGCAGTGCTTGGTTTTCTGTTCCTGTGTTAGTTTGCTGAGAGTGATGGTTTCCAGCTTCATCCATGTCCCTGCCAAGGACATGAACTCATCCT